TAGAGCTAATAGTTAAAGTAGAATCTCCAATATCACTTTGTAAGGAACTTGAGGAAATAGCAATTGGTACTCGTGACAAAACTGAAGTAGCCACACCCACATTACGTGCTGGAGATGAACCGGAAGAACTATCCACTCCCACATTACGTACTAAAGATGAACAGGAAGAACTAGCCACTCCAACGTTACGTGCAACAGATGAACCAGAAGAACTAGTCACTCCCACATTAAGTGCTTGAGCAGAACCAGAAGAACTAGCCACTCCCACATTACGTGCAACAGATGAACCAGAACTAGCCACTCCCACATTATGTACCACAGGACAGGAAGAACTAGCCACTCCCACATTACGTGCCACAGGTAAACCAGAAGAACTAGCCACTCCCACATTACGTACCACAGATGAACCAGAAGAACTAGCCACTCCCATGTTACGTGCAACAGATGAACCAGAAGAACTAGCCACTCCAACATTAAGTACCACAGATGAACCAGAAGAACTAGCCAATCCCACATTGCGTGCAACAGATGAACCAGAAGAACTAGCCACTCCCACGTTACGTACTACAGATGAACCAGAACTAGCCACTCCCACATCAAGTGCTTGAGCAGAACCAGAAGAACTAGCTACTCCCACATTACGTGCTTGAGTGGAACCGGAACTACTCACTCCCACATTACGTGCTTGAGCGAAACCAGAAGAATTAACCACTCCCACATTATGTGCTTGTGTGGAACTGGAAGTAGCCAGGCTAGAAGAGGAAGTACTAGCACTTGGTACCAGTGATGAACCAGCCACACTATGTAAGGAAGTAGCATGTACACTTCTTTGTGTGGATGAGGATGCATCAGCATTTGGAGTAGGTCTGGATGATAGTTTATGTAAGAAGGAAGGTAAATCGACACTTGATTCAGAATCACTGCTACTAATATATACATGTGTAATGCCAGGTTTGCTAGCTGTTTCAAGTTCAAAATCAGAATCACTATTTTCTACCATGGCAATAGATCTTGTTGGAACTTTCTTTAGTAGTCTTACATATATAGCCCCAGTGCCCGCCATCTGCTTCACTGCACGACTGTTAAATTGCTGGCTCTCCTGACATGTAGGGACAGAAGCTTGTTTTCCATTGACATCAATAAACTCAAAGTCAGACTCTGAAAAGCAGGACAAATTAAATTGCTTATTGCACCGAATAACTGAAGTGATAACTTCCCTAATCTTTTCTTCACTATCCTCTAATGCTATCTCCGGTAGCAGTGCACGAAACAAAATGAAACATTCTTTTCGAGTGAAAGACTGAGGTGAGCCTTCTCCCATAAATCTAAAAACAACTAGTTTCTTTTGAAAAGTAGCTTTCCTGGCTTCCTTGCGTGCATTTCGAGCTATCTTTCCCTTTCTTTTCTTTGACTTGATACTAGCTGGTAATGGCTG